TTTAAAACGTTTTACATGACGGCGTCATTCAAGGAAAGAATCACTTTTTTTTTTTTTTTTGGAGAGGTTTTTGCTATAGGGTGCGTGCGCTCACCAGACAGACAGAGACAGACAGAGAGACAGAAAGTGAGAAATCACCCCCCAGGGGGGATGGTCACGCCGCAATCCCTTCTCCTCCATTCTCCTCTCAGGACCCTGGGCACGCACGCACACGCGCCCGGCGTGAGTTTTAAGCCACCGGGTCCGGGATGCGAACCGCGGTCGACTGCGTGGGAGTCCAGCGACACAGCCATTATGCTAACTGCTGGTTCCCAGGAAAGACTCTCTTGCCTAAAATGTTTTTGTCTCCTGTTCCGTTTTCTTGTTCGTTTCTTCTCTCTCCGACTTCCCTTCGCCCTTGCCAACACGCCACTCGTCCACTTTTAAAGCATATGGCAGTGTGTTTTGGTCACGGTTTTCTGTTTTCCTAGCGATTTCTGTCTTCGAGATCCTTCTAGGTCAGTACATGAGTGTCTGGCTCGTTTTCCTCTGGGTGCGTGGTATTGGACCGGCTACCTGCACTATCATTTACATGACGAATCCCCAACTGATGTACTTTTAAACAGTTAGGATGACTGTTTTGCGATTCCGATGAATGCTGCAGCTGATAGCACACCTCAGTGTCTCCCTGGGCAGATTACCTCTAGGTGGAATTGCTGGTTCAAAATCTACGTGCCTGGGACCAGCAAATGGCAAAATGGTTACACTGCTGGACTCCCACGTAGTTGGACTGTGTATGCCCAAGATCCTGAGAGGAGAATCGAGGAGAAGGGATTGTGGTGTGGCCATCCCCCCGGCGGGTAATCTCTCACTTTCTGTCTCTGTCTTCCTGGCGAGCACACGTGCTCTATAGCAAAAGGCTCAAGAAGAAGAAAACACCTCCATGCCTTTAAAGCTGTAACACACACAAACAATCTCCTCCGGGGCCAGCTGTGGTGGCACACTGGTGATGCAACCATCTGCGATGTGCAGCACACCTGGGCAGGTCCCAGGTTCAAGTCCTGAGGGCTCCCTGTACCCACGGGCGTGGGTGTGTGTGGGCGCCCATGTAATCTGGGCTGACTGAGGCCGGGGGTGGAACTCAGTGTGAGGACTCCACTGGGGATGCCTCCCTTCTCTCTTACTGTAGAAATAAACTTATTTATTTATTTATTTATTTAAGGAATTGCCTCTCAGATAGATTGCACTGTTTCCCACCGTCCCTCCCCATCCTGGTCTTGCAGTGTTTCCCCACAGCCTCACCGACATTGAGGATTAACAACTTTAAAAAAAAAAAAAAACTTTTTTCTTTCTTTTCATAAAAGTCAGAGGGAGGGTTCCAGGGTGTCTCCTTGGCAGCAGGAGGGGTGGGAAGGAGAGGAGCCAGGCCTCCCTCGGGAGAGCAGAGCGGCAGGTGGCACAAGGACTGCCAGATGCCCTCTTGTTGCTGGCTAGGACTGCAGGATTCCTGGGCACCTGTCTGGGCTCCACCGCCCCTGCGAGCCCCCTCGTGCGGTGACCTGCTCGGCAGAATGCGTTTTTCTGAGTGTGTGTGTGTGTGTGTGGGGGGAATGACTGTGGATTAGAAATAAATATGAAACAAACTCACAAGTATAGAAAAGCAAGGATCGGGTGGGCCCGACTTCTCTGACAGAGAAAGCTGTGACCTCAAACCACCCTCAGGTTTATTATTTTATAGGGCAGAAAATGAGGGAAGAGGAAATGGAATGCAAAGCCAGTTGTTTTCAGGTGTTAATTGGTCGATGGTGTGAGAGAACTGGCACCATGTGATTTCTCTGATCTTTTGGGGCTGATTCTGATAAACACATGTCACTTCCTTTAAGCTGATACTGCCCTGCAGTATCGTTAACAGTCCTCATCCTTGAGACCCTCCTTCGTGACCCCCTGTGGCCACTAGACTCATAATTAGGGTGCAAGCTCGCCATGAGGGACAGGGACACTCTAGGCGGGGAGGGCGCCTCTCATCTGCACCCCGTACAGGGTACCAGGTGCACCCCCAGGTGCCTGCTCTGTTGTGTAAGTCAGCTTGCTTATCTTCCTTGCCCAACAGGGCATCATCACATGTGGGGTCATGTCAGGTTCCCTAAGTCTGAAAGCCACCTCTTCCCGCGGTGGGCATGTGGGGCAAGGTACTGCAGTGATAGAGGTGGAAGGTAGGTAGGTCTTCAGAGCCCCAGTGGTAAGGGCTGCCTCTCGTGGCCCTGTGCCAGCGGACCCTGAGAATTCGGTGGCCTTGGAGGCCGCAGAGGAGGAGGTGTCACTGTGCTCGGTGGCTGCCCTACCTACCCCTCCAGGAGTGCAGGAGCACCTGGGCCGCTGCCCACTATACTTCCATGCCCTTCTCCAGCCCACCCTGGTGGCCCTCTGCGTTGGCCGCACCTCTGGCCCTGCCTTCGGTCAGCCTCGGCCGGTGGTAAGGGCAGTGGCTGCGAGGCGGCACCAACTCACTCGGTTCCACTCACCTGGCGCTGGGGCACCTGGCCTTCCGTCAGCATAGTCCCCTCCCTGCAGGACTGAGCCCTGAGGGGGAAGGGGGGCTGGGCTGCGCTGATTGGCTGCGGCCCAGTGCGTGACGAGACAAAACCCAATGTCGTGGCATGGGCCGCCGCTGCCGCGCGCGGATTGAGCCAGGCTGCCGAGGGCCGGCTAAGGACCGGCGCGGGCGGGCACACAGGGCGCAGGGCTGGACGTGGGGCGCGGTGTGGAATGGTGCCTAACGGCGTCCCAGTAGCGGGCAGGCAGGAAGAGATGTGGTGGGACAGCTGGAGTCTGGCCAGGGTCAAGCGGAGGGAGGGGGATGAAAGGTAGGTACCCACCCGCGTAGGCAGGGCTAGGCAGGGCGGGCCTAATCTAATCGGGGCATTCCCAAGGCCCTTCTGAGATCCTGACCTCAGCCCAATGAGAGAGGCAGTATCACCCTCGCCGGCCCCACGGTCCCCTTTGACAGGACCAAACCAAACGACGACGACCGAGGCCAGAAGCTGCACCTAGTCGCCCAAGGCCCAGGCCCACAGGTAGCAACCCCGAGGGATTATAGCCATGGTAGCAGGCCACAGGAGTCTATGCTGGGCAGCTTCTCCAAGGGAGGGGACCAGAGCAGCGGACTGCAAGGAGACTGTGAGGCAAGGGGCTGGCGTCTTGCACGGATGCCCCTTTCATGGGCCTGCACCATCAGGCTGGTGCACAGCGAAGGTACATTTGCACGTCCCCACCTTGGCTATCTGGAAAGTACGGCCATGCCAGGCAGGCAGCAGGGTTCACTCCCTTCTCTGCACGACCATGACTCGTGAGCCTCTAGTACTTGATCTGTCTGGCTGCTTCTGCCAAGCACCTTCTAGGGGCCCGAATCCAGGCTTCTGGGCTCTGTTCCATCCTCAGGAACTGCCCTTCAACCATGGGTATCTGCCCTTCCCTTCAGGATACCAGCGTGCTCGTGTATGCTATTCCGTAGTAGGCGTTGCCAGACCTGGCACCTCACACCCGAATTCGAGCAAGGGTGGCCACCGAGTCCCGAGGTGTGGGTTAGGAAGGGAAGGCGCACCTCGCGGCGCACGGTGCTTACAAGAGCGCAGGGCACCTCCGCAGTCAGTTTCCTTCAGCGCTCACACACCGCTGACCTCACGCACTCCAGAGGGGAATCTGACGGCCCATAACCCCACCCCTAGGTAGATCCATACCCAAGGAAAGCAAAAACACATCTACGTGCAGACCTGGATATGTGGGCAACCCAAACAGCACTATTCCCAGTAGCCCAAGAGTGCGGAAAACCTGGATGTCCACCCACCGAGGCACGGACGAACACGACGTGGCCTTTCCACACGACAGTGTGTGTTACGTGGCCGTGAAAAAGCGCAAAGTCGACACGGACCGTGTGCCTGAACCCCAGATGCGTCATGCTAAGTCAGAGAGGCCAGACACAAAAGGCCACACCAAACACCCAGAAGAGGTCCTTCTGAACAGACGGGAAGTGGACCAGCAGCTGCCAGGAGCTAGGCGGGTTGATAGGATGTGACTGTTATGGGCACAGGGCTCCTCTTTAGGGGGATAAAAAGGCTCTACCAACTGTGCTGATGCTTGCCCAACTTTTGAGTTTGCCAAAAAGGACAGAAGTGTACAGCGTGTGTGAACTGTACAGAGTTCTGCGAGAGAGTGATGACCTTGGGGAGGTGAGGGAGGCGCAACCATTCTGCTTATTTGCATCTCCCCAAATATCCCCACATGGACTGTTACCAAGTAACTCCGAGATCCCAGGAGGTAAGCAGAGCAAGCGTGCTGCTCATTCTATAGGCCGGGAGAGCAGCTCAGGCTGTTTCAAAGGGCAGGAGCACAAAGAACAGGTAGGCCCCCAAGGACTTGAGGTCCCAGGCTCTTCTTTGGTCCCGCCCACACATCCTAGACCACCCCCTGGGACAAACTGCTCATAGAACTCAGCATCCTGGTTTTTTTTGAAGAGGTCTTTGCTATAGGGCGCCTGCGCTCGCCAGACAGACAGAGACAGACAGAGAGAGAGAGAGAGAGAGAGAGAGAGAGAAAACACC